GCATACCAAGGGGAGTCTGGAACGAACGAGCGTAACCACCAGGAAGGATTGCTGGTCTAACAGGCCTGGCCCATTCTGCTCTACTTCCCGGCCTTGGGTCAAAATCCTGCCCCATCATAACTCAGCAAAAGCGTTACAGTGAAGAAGCACAACTCTGAAAATGATATGGATTTATTATTAACATGATATTTATTTAATTATTTTTTTAAAGCAGTTGAACTTTACTGTAATTATTTCACCCTATTGTTTTTTAATAAAATCAAACAAAAAATTAATATATTATTTCATCGGTGCTAGAAGGTGTAGTAGAAATTGATTTTCATTCAAAAATACATCAAAATAATATAGCATATCAAAACAATATAAAAATATAAAAAATAAAAATAAAAAAATTTCAAATACTTTTAAAAACATCCTTGAAATAAAAAAAACTAATAAACATTTATATATACCGCTCATGTACCTTTAAGCGGAACTTCAGCTTGGCAATGTGATTCCAGTCCATAATTGGAACTGCAACAGTGTGAAAAGTGCATGATGTTAACTTTGTTGAGTCCAGAATTCAATTCAAGCCATTGACTAGTAACATAATTGCAACAAATGGTGCTCCAACTTCACGGCAATAAACGGAGATAGAACTGAAGTAAGATCCCAAAATCCGACCTCCAAATCAGATTCTATCAACTGACCAAGATGAGGGTGTAAACATCATATACGCAGGAACGGTCCAACCTCTAAGGGAAATTTTGCACCCATAGTTTCAAACTCAAACATGGCAACTGTAAAATTTTTGGCACATTATTCCACTGATGGAACCGCCGGATGGTTCCATATCCAGCCACGTTGGTAGGACAACAGGTTACTTCTCCAGCAATTCTCCACAGAGATGATGCATTATCTTACCACTGTGCTTAAAAGGACAGCTATACTCATGATTGGATGGCCAATTAATCGAGCATGGCCTGACCTGGTGAACTGCAAGATTAGCAATAAAATTATCATCTAGATGAGCATAAATAAGCAACATAAAATGAATGACTAAACAAGAAGGAACGCGATCAGTACACGATATTTCTTTTTTATGTGCTGGGAAATCCTTCCTCCTATCGAAGCTCAAACTTTTGATAGTTTTGAAGCTTTGCAAATAAATATTTATCTTCGTAACATGACAGTTTTAGAAATCAAAACCAAGACTTTGATTCTATGCAGTTCAATTTGGAGTGAAAACAAGACTAAACTGTCATTCATATCACGTCAACTCTAAATGTCACACCCCACCTGCAAAAGATACCCAAAAGTGATTATTGATAAGATTAATAGTTTGCTGGGGAAAGTATTTTTTTTATTGTTTTTTAAAATATTTTTTATTTTTAGATATATTGAAATAATATTCTTTATTTTTAAAAATTATTTTTAATAGTAATATATTAAAATAATTTAAAAATATAAAATAAAATAAAATAATTTAATTTTTTTTAAAATATTTCTAAAACATAATAACAAATGCACCATAATAAAAAAGCTAAATCATCATGTTTGGAGTATAATTGCGGTTATTTTTTAAAGTGATTTTTATTTAGAAAAATATATCAATAATAATTTTTTATTTTTTAAAAATTAGTATATTAAAATAATTTAAAAATATTAAAAATATATTAATTTAAAAACATTTTAATTTTTTTTCAAAACACAGTGGCAAACGGTATCCAATAACATTCTTTCAACGTGCCAAACACAGGAACCCGATTCCATCTAGGTATCTAACAGCTGGTGTGCACAGCGATCGG